CGGGACGCGTGCGGGGCCTCGTCGGGCCCGTCCTCGCCCGCCTCGCGGCGGCGGCCGGGGGGATCGACCAGGCGGGATTTAATCTGATCCTGGTCGGGGCCTCGCGCGAGCAGCGGGAGGCCCGCACGGCGATTACGGACGGCCTCACCATCCTCGCGGGGGTCTGCCGGCGCTCCCGTGGGCTGATCGGGCCTCTTCTTGTGGAGTTGATGCCGCTTTTGGGCCGTCTGACAGAGTTTGTGCATGGGGTCCGGCGGGAGGCCCTGCCGGCGTCCTTCGCACGCATTTTCGACCTCGCCGCGGGGGAGCGGGCGCAATTTCTCCCAGGGTATTCCCGCCAATCCACAGTAGGTGAGCGGATCTCGCTCGAGCAGCGGGTCGCCGATGGGCTCACGAACATTCGCTTCTCTCTGTATCAGCTATACGGTTCGCTCTGCGAGTGGATCTCGATGGAGAGCCTGGAGACGATGCTGGACTCTATTGGCTCCACTACCGAGCTCCCGATTCACCATATCCGGGTTTTATCCGAGAAGTGTCTTTTTCTGATCGGCCAACAACACCCGGCGCTGCTGCAGAGGGTTTTACGCATCCTTGGGATGTTTTTTACTCATCAAGCAAGGCCCCTGGGAGAGCGGGCCGCTTCATCATCCTCAAATTCTGCCAAACCTTCGGGAAATCCGCTCGAGGACGACGTCGTCTATCACAAACAGTGGCTTTTCTACACCAAGGACGTCTTGACATTTATTCGGACGCAGGTGCTTGAAGGCGTGGTCTGGCAGAGCCAACCCTTTCTTCTCACGAGCACTGTCGAGCTCGCGGCGGTGATACTGGAGAGCGGAAGCAATTCCATCATGTCCAGCCGTTTTTTACTTAGCGTGGTTAGTGTGAAAGGGGGCGAAGGGGAGGGCGAGGGCGTCTCCCTTTCTTTCGCGCCCTCTGCGGAGACGGCTACGGTCTTGCACGAGGCCCAGCTCATGGCCTACGGTCGTCTTGTGTATTATCTTCTTTTTCTCGGCAGCAGCACGCTCGCCCCTCGCGAGAAGGAGACCATCGCCTACATGGCAGCGGAGGCCTACATATCGTACTACCCCAAGCTCGAGCGTGGGTTGGAGCTTGCCAGGATCCCATCGGATAAGGTGGAGGAGCTTCGAACGGAAATGATCTTCGCGAATGGGCTTAACATGAAGCGACGAAAGGTCAAGGAGAAGTTTCTTGCGTGGGCTTCATCGTAGTTCCCACACGTTTCCTCCTCTTTCGTTCGACACCTTACGCTTACCTCGACTCTTTCTCCCTTTAGCATTTGCTTTCCGCATCTTAGTCTGCGTTGGGGTGCATGTTTCTGTTGTTGTTGTGGTTTTCCAAACACTTTGCATCACCTATATATATTTATATCGATATATAGATATTGATATGTATTGCAAAGCAATAGATTTTTTTTTAACATTTATGAATTTCTATCCTGGGTAATTTGAAACCGCGCAGTTGTGACGATATAAAATTTAAACCTTATCTCCTCCCCTTTTTCCTCAAAACCCCCAATGAACGACTTATGGATACAGCTCTAGTTAAACATATTTCATTAACAAAAATAAGGCAATCGTAAACCCCAGCCCGATTCCTAAATTCCCATTTATCGTGAATATAGTCCATTGACTAAGACGAAGGAAAAGAAAAAGAAATCGCTAACTAACTAACCCCTCCCTCCAGAAGGATCTTTAACGTCCGTTCCCCCGACCCTCTTCTTCCGCCATGCTCCGTTTCCGTGCGATCCAAGGGCTGGCTATGCGGTCCTTTGCGCGGTGGGTGACCATCACCCCCCTTCCCATGCCCGCGCTCTCCCCCACGATGGACAAGGGGAAGATCGTGGAGTGGTCCAAGGGCGTGGGCGACCTGGTGAAGATGGGGGACACCCTCTGCAAGGTCGAAACCGATAAGGCCGTCGTGACCTACGACAGCACCGCCGACGACGGCTACATCGCCCGGCTGATCGTCGAGTCCGGGGGTGAGGCCGTGGTCGGGCAGACCGTCTGCCTGATGGTCGAGGAGAAGGACGAGATCACCTCCGACGAGGTCAAACGCTGGACCCCGGACGCGGAGGAAGGCGACGAGGGCGAGGCCGAAGCCGAGGCCGAGG